TGCTTCACAGCTGGCACAGCTGTGTTGCACTTGAGAAGAGCAAAAAACAGAAAGCTGGCCGACCAGGTAAGGTGGCCGGCCGGCCACTCCCTCTGGTCGGCCGACCAGGGGTCAAAAGGATCAAGCAAAAAAGCTGGTCAGCCTCCCCAGAAAGCTGGCCTCCCAGATGAGTAGAATACAGCTGTGTGGTGAAAAACCAAAAAATGTGACCCAAGATAGAGAAAAATCAGCTTTTTAGAGGGGTTCAAAAGGGTCAAGAAGAATTACTAGTCGACCTACCCATATTGGTGGCCTCCCAGATGAGCACAACACAATGATGGTGTGAAAAACCAGAAATTGTGGCTCAAAAGTGAGAAAAACCAACTTTCTGTCAGAAAAACTGGTTTTTGGAGAGAGAAAATGAGAAAGCTGGTTTTTCAGGGGAAAAGGTGGCCTCCCACCATCCTACCATCTTCCTAACAATGAAAATAGGGTATCTACCAAAAATGGACCAAAACGGATGCAAAACGAAGGTTCAGGGGCCAAAACGCATGGTTCGGGGCCCCGAAAACAAGCTATTAGGCACCGGAAGTGGCGTATGACCACGAAGGTGGTCTCCTAGGCCACAGTGTCCCTCAAAAGGGAGGAAGCAAGGTGTGTGCCAAAAAATGGAGCAAACGGAGGTAGTAAAGCGGTCCCGAACCGAGGCACACGGCCGACGACTCCGAAAACTGGAAACTAGGTTCCAAACGGGAAAAATGGCCTACGACCACGACACGTAGCCTACGGCCACTGAGAGATGGTCTACGAGACATCTCCCTCCCTTCGGGAAGAGAAAACAGAGAAAATAGGACTTGGTTCACAAACCGAGGCAAAGCACAAAAGAGCTCCGAAGTCTGGAGGCAAGGCTCGCAGCCGAGACTCTGTAACCTCAGAACGAGCACAATATGCAACATCACTGAGCGCTCAGTTGGTGACGTCTGAGTCTTAAGGTCAGTCAAAAATGGGGTGTCTACAATTGCCCCTCTTTGACAGAACTCGAAATTCGTAATTGACGGGAGTGAATGTCAAAGTCTAGAGATGACCAATTTTTGACAAGGCCGAAGACTTAGACAACGGGCGAGATAAACAGAGACGTGCCCGCAGGCGTGCCCGCAGGCAGGGGGCAAAATGCAACTGACAAAGCAAGAAGTCGAAGGTACCTCATGATCATGCAAAGCAGCAAGCTGTAATGAAGCACACACGCAACAGTTTAAGCAAGAATGCAAAGTAACAACTACATTTCATGCAGTTTAAGAATGCGGAGAATTATTCAATTCTCGCCACGTCTCACACGGAGAAGATACAATACCTGTGCGGCTCATCTGGTCGCACCAGCCTCAAATGAACCGTACATACAATATCGTGCCAGCAAGAGAGGAAAACTTAACAAGCACAACATAGTTAGCAACATATGTTCAATGCTATATCGAATGCAGACAAATGTGGTGCCGATGGGTTAGTGCATCGCCATGCGAGAAGGAACGCGCGTGACAATGAAAGTCAAGCATGAGGGTATGACAATGCCCGTGAAATGTGCACAATAGTGTGAGTGGTGTGCATGAGAATGCAAATGACGTGCATAACAATGCAGGATAAGTGCAAATTTGAATGCGTGTTTGACATGAAACAACGAGCAAAGAAATGCAAGTTTCGACGAGTGCGACTCAATTGCGACCTCCGGTTTACCTCCCGAAAGGGTCACAACGTGCTCAAAAAGGATACATTTTGCTCTTGATGAGTGACGATGAAACACGCATCGAAAGTTGGAGTTGAAGATCCCGCGGAGTGATTTCGCGACGAAAAGTGCACTTTTCTTGTACTTTCTCGGGTGCTGGGGACTCTGATGACTTCCAAAATTTGCAGAGACCTTGGAGACCATCTTGGGAACACCACTGACCAGGTTTGGAGGCTATTGGAGCCCACCGACCAGGTTTGAGTGCAGGGGGTGGTCGGCCTACCAGAAAAGGTGGCCGGCCGACCACCTAGCCCAAATCTGGGACAATTTGGTACTTTCACACTTGGATCTTTAAGTATACTCGGCCAAAGCTCTTTTTGCTCATATCTTCAGATCTGAAATCACCTTCTTCTCCTTCCTAAACTATTTTCTCCCTCAGATCTGCGTTCTATACGCGTTTTCCAACGCCCCACGCCAAGTTGTTTCGCGAAAGCTTTCAGTTCTCTTCACTTTGAACCGATTAAAATTTGATTTCGGAGCTTCTTTTCTCATTTTCACCACTTGAGGTAAGTTTGTCTCAACATTTGGAAGATTTTCTCGGGAGTTGACTTTTGTTGACTTTTTCATTTCCCGAGGGTTGACTTTTGTTGGCTTTTTTCCAATTATGGCTTATTTCGCTCATTTTTGCTCCTTTTTGCAGACATCTTGAGATGGTGAGTCAATTTCCCCATGGTGGAGGTTCTCCAGGCGCCGAAGGTGATCCATATATCATGTCTCTGCCGCCGAGAATTCACCCATTTATTCCCGAGAGGTACGACCCCTCGACGCACATCCTCTCGCGGGCAGTTTTCTATCATTTTACGGACTTCGATGATCGAGCCCCCGTGGATTTGCTATTGCGGGAGCCGGAGTCCCATCTCTCCTATTAGGCACGGGAGGTATGTACTTCACCCTTTTAACATTTCCTGCTTTAATTCTGCATTTTCCGTGCATTTTATGCTACGCATGCTTATTTGCTCGCTCTGAACACATTCGCATGCCATACTTCTGCTCATTATAGTACACAGCTTGTTCTGAATGCTTTGTCTAGAACATAGTATTCTGTTTGCATCTTGAACACACAGCTCAATCACCTAAATTTCTGAACACGCAACTCATATTTGTTTGTGAACACGCAGCTCATATTTGATGAAAGTTGAACACGCAGCCCAAACTTTGTTTGTGAACACGCAGCACACATTATTTCTAAAATCTGAACACACAACCCAAATTTTGAATTTTTGAAATCTGAACACACAGTCCAAATTTAATTGTGAACACGCAGCCCAAACTTTAAATTTCTGAACACGCAGCTCATATTTGAATTGTGAACATGCAGCTCAAACATTGAATTTGTGAAATCTGAACACACAACCCAAATTTAATTGTGAACACACAGCCCACATTTCTTGAAGGTTGAACACGCAGCCCACATTTGTTGAAAGTTGAACACGCCGCCTAAACTTTGAATTTCTGAAATCTGAACACACAGCCCAAATTTAATTGTGAACATGCAGCCCACATTTGTTGAAGGTTGAACACGTAGCCCAAACTTAATTGTTAACACGCAGCCCATATTTGTTGAATGTTGAACACACAGCCCAAACTTTGAATTTCTGAAATCTAAACACACAACCCAAATTTAATTGTGAACACGCAGCCCACATTTGTTGAAAGTAGAACACGCAACCCAATGCTTTTGAAATCTGAACACACAACCCAAGTACTTGATGTTGAACACACGGTTCAAAATTTGACCTGAACACACAGCCCACTGATATTGAAATCTGAACACACGGCTCAAACTTTGAGGTGAACACACAGCCCACTGATCTTGAAATTTGAACACACAGCTCAAACACTTCTATTTCGAACACACAGCTCGAACTTTGAGATGAACACATGGCCACTGATTTTGAAATCTAAACACACATCCCAAATACTTGATGTTGAACACAGGCTCAAACTTTAAGGTGAACACACAACCCACTGATCTTGAAATCTGAACACACAGCCTAAATACGTCTATTCTGAACACACAGCTCGAACTTTGAGATGAACACACGGCCCACTGATTTTGAAATCTGAACACACGGTTCAAACTTTGAGGTGAACACACAGCACACTGATCTTCAAATCTGAACACACAGCCCAAATACTTGATGTTGAACACACGTCTCAAACTTTGATTGTACGCAACTCACAGCATTGGATCTGATTTGCTTTGCACACAGCTTATACATGTCATTTGCACGCACCTTATTCATTTCATTCTAAAACTGAATACATGTGTTCATTATGAATAGAGGTGTCTTCTCGTATCACGCGAGGGTATGGCTCCATTGTCGCGAGGGAGTGGTACGTAGAGCTTCCGGAGGCTGTCCGCGAGTGGGTTGACCAGGCAGGGATTGGACCTTTCTGTACAAGGATATCCCGCTATCCTGCCAGTAGGACATTGATGGGTGTCCTTGTAGAGAGATGGTGGGACACCACCAACTCCTTCCATTTCTCTGCTACCGGGGACATGACTATGACCCCGTTTGATTTTGCGATTCTGATGGGCCTCGACATGGGAGATTGGCCGATCCCATATGATGAGGATATGAGTGAGTGGGAGGCCGCCTGGATTTATCTATCAGGAGCTCGCCTGTCGGTTGACAGATCCTCAGGCCGAGTTCGGTATACCAAGTTTTCCACACAGTTCAGGGTAAGGGTGCCCAAGACTCCCGTAGAGGTAGCACAGTATACCCGGGGGTTTTTGAAGTTCCTCTTCGGGACCACTCTGTTCGCCGATAGGGGGAACACCGTTGGGCTATATCTACTGAGTGCACTGGTAGACCTCTCGCAGGTCAGTCAGTATGACTGGGGTGGCGCCAGCTTGGCTACCCTCTATTGCTATATGAGCGCGACCTCCCACGGACGGGGGAACATAGTTGGCGGCTACTGGAGAGCTTGGGAGGTACCTTCTGCCCTCTTTGATTTACATTTCTGCTTTTCATTATCTGTACATTGCACGCACGGCGCACTTTACATTCTGTACTCGCATTTCGCACTCAACATTCCGTATTCGAATTCTGCACTCAGCATTCTGTATTCTGATGGCTTTTGCCCTGTTTTCCACAGTTATGGGTTTTTGCGTACTTCCCGACGCTAGCCCTAGAGCTCGAGGTGGAGAAGCCCCTCATGATCCCTACTCGCTCGTGTTTGAGGGCCAGTACCGGCCGAGACGTCGGGAACACCAAGTTTCAATCCTCAATATGCTTACATGCCTGAAACTAGTACTACCACCCATGAATCTGTGACCAATAATAGGCCTAACCCACAATACACTTCATCAAATCAAGCACCTGTCGCCAATGGTCCTAAGCCACAGTACTCTCAACCAAATGAAGCTCTGCACAATTCTAGTGCTCAGACAGGTCTTGCTAACGAGGGAAAGTCACGTGCTGATCCACCAAATCAAACACAACCACGAAATGTAAAGCATTTCAGCCACCATCATGCCTTGCATTTATCCAAAGTTCAAGAGGAAGATTACATTCACTGCTCTGTTTGTGATCAGTGCCTTTCTGGCTCGGCTTACAGTTGCACCAAGCAAAGGTGCAACTTTGACATTCACAAGTCCGGCTTCGAATTACCACAAAAGATTCACCACAAATCACATCCCAAGCACGCTCTCACGCTTCTCTCATCCCCGTCTTACAAAGAATACAATGAATTCACCCGCAATGCCTGTCGTGAAATTGGCACTGGTTTTACCTACCACTATAAAGACTGCAAGTTTGATCTCCATGTCAAGTGTGCTACATTGCTCGAAACTGTGAAACGCGAAGATCATGAGCACCTGCTGACTCTCTTTTATTCATCTCCATACAAGAAATCTGAAGAGGATAGTGCCAAGGACTTGATCTTCTACTGCGATGTATGCCAAATCTCAGTCGATGACAGCTGTTGGGTATACTATTGTCAAGACTGTGATTATGGTACTGACTTGCATTGTGTGACTGCTGAGAAAAGACCAGAAGAAGAAGAAACAAAGGAATATTCAGCAGAAGAAGCAGTTGCCAAGGCTCAGCAGCATATGCAATTGCTTCAAATTCAAATGGAAATGAGCAAACAAAATGCACAGTTTATAAGCGGAATCGCACAAAGTTTGTCCAACTTAGTTTAAATTGTTCCAACGCTCACATTTTGTCAAATGTTGCGCTTTTCGGTAAACTGAGCAAGGACAAAGTGGAAATGAATGAAAGAGAGATGAAATCTTTGAAAAATCGTTCAAAACACCTTGTTCGGGGGTTTGGATTTGAAGAAAAGAAGAGTGGAGAGAAGAAACCTAGTTGAGGAAGAGGATGGGCATGAATCGGTAAGAGAGAGTCGAGCGGTCCTCGCTAAATCAGGCTTATCTGTCTATACACTTAGATTTAAGCTATGAGGCCACCACCGTTGGAAAGAAGACTTCCGGGGCTTCATTTTACACTCAAGAATCTCCTAAAGCCAAGTCTGGACGAGGGAGATATGGTTGGTGGAAGTAGGGCATCAATTCAGTTGGACCGAATCTGCGCGGCTTTACCCTAACAGACATAACTTTTTGCACAGTTGGAATTTTAATGCAAGGCTGGCACCATTGGAAAGCTAACTTCTGGGGCTTCGTCATAGGGGGTAGTAGACCACCTTGAATCCTTTGATCTGGTCGGCCAGCTCCCACCTTTTTTGTCTCTCTGAGTTGCCTCCAACTGTGCTAGCTGGGAGGCATTTGTTGCATCCTCCATACACGTGTATGGAGGATGTTTAACCTAACTTTGAAGCTTCTTGGAGAAGCTTTAGCCTCTCCTCTCTATAAAGGAAGGGCTCCTCTTCCATTGCAAGGGTTCAAGAATTGCTGGAGCATACACACATATATCTCCCTATTGTCTCTATATTTTGCCCTCAAAAAGAGCCAAGTTATTGCCCCTTTACACGCTACCTCTTAGCCCAACACCTTCAACACCAACCTAAGGTCCTTGGAGCTTGTTTTCAGAGCTTGAGGAGCTGGTTTCTTGGTCCAGAGCTTGCTGTCTTTCTTGGCTACAAGGGTAACACTCTCATTCCCTCTTTTGGTCTTTATTTTGCTCCTTACTTTAGCCATAGTTGCAAGCATTTTCGAGCCTTGGGGTAAACTGAAAAAAGTCTGATTTTGAGACCCTTAACATGTTTGTTTGAGGTCATTTTTCCGTTAGGGGTCATCTACCCCCTTGCATGCTTCTTTTTACCTTGTTTTGAGCCATGCATCTAGGCCTTTGTATTGAGCTTTGTTTGGCCTTTTGACCACTAAAATCCAGCAGATTTTCAGTAGTTATTATGCTGTTTTGAGTGCCAAAATGAGAGAGGGGTGACCCTCTCTCCCTTTGTGTTGTTTTCTAGCATTATTGGCCTTACAAAGGGGCCTATATTTTCACACTTCTTGAGCATGTTTCAGGCCTTTTTTAGTGAGTTTTAGGACCTGCATGAGCTCTTTCAAGAGCTTTTTTTGCCATATTAGTTGTCCTTGCATGTGTAGAACAACCCCTTGCATGGCCTTTCAAAGGAGCACCTCATTCTAGCATGTGTTGACTAAGTTTCAGTGGGTTTTTGGTCATATTTTGGCATGCAATGTTTCTGTTTTGGGCGGGTTTGGTGACCTCTTGAATGCTTCATATACATGTAGTGTAAATCATGCTTACTAGCCTATGTTGCATGTTGTTTTGGCCCTTCATGTTAGCACTTTTTGGCCATGCCTTAAACTAATTTTGTGCATGTTTTGGACTGCCTTAGCTCTGTTTTTGGGCCTCATGGTCGAATGATGCTTGTTATGCATACTTTTAGTTCAATATCCATGCCTAGCTTCGAGTTTTGGAGCCTATTGCATGCCTATGTTAAGGTATTTTCATGTCTTAGCATCACTTTGCATGGTATTTCAGAGCTTATATGTATGCCATACTTTCACAATTTCCATGTTTTAAATGCTCCTTAGAGTTGTGCATTTATGCTATGTTTACGAGCCATTGCATGAGCTTCATTTGAATGCATTCTGGGCCACCATCCCAACACATTTTGCCTCTGATTTTGGTCTGCATAGGGACTGTTTGGGGTTGGTTTCATCATTTGAGCATTGTTTTGCATACCTATAGTGTAATCCACTTCACTAGTTTTGGTATTCGGGCCATCTAGCATGCACTGTGTGAGGTGTTTGCATGATTCGGGACCATCTTGCATGTCATTTCAGAGCTGGAAATTATGTAATTGTATGCCATATTTCATCCTTGCCATGCTTTGGTAGAGTTGCATTTTGTGCCTTAGGTTCGGTCCGTTGCATTGGGCATGTTTGCATGAGTGTTCTTGTCTTAATTTCATCATGCATGGCCACTGATTTGAGTGTGGCTGAGGTCCACTCATTTTAGTTTAAGTCCATCTTGCACTATGTATACCATATAGTCTATGTTGTTTCATGATTGGCCATTGCATTGTGTATGCCTTGTTCATCTCATCGTTTGTCTCCGTAAGTGCATTGCGTATGCCATATAGTTCATGTGTATTGAGTATGCCATTCTAGGTTCAGAGCATAGCGTATGTTATTTGCATGTTTTCATATCATCCCTCGCATGCCAGCATGATTAGGATTGCATGCATTGCATTAGGATTGCATGCTAGAAGTCGCATTGTGCATGCCTTACTTGTTGCATTGTGTTTGGAGTAGGAGTTAGTCCAAACACGGGAAACGAGGGACGTTTCATACTCCAAGTGATGAAACGTGCCTCGATTCCCGGTCGCCGACACTCCGGATTACCCATGATGGAGTTTAGGCCTTGTGGTGTTTATATGTGCATTCATTTCATATCGAGTCATACAATTCGACTCCTCGGCCATCATGCATCGAGATGTGTGATTGGTCGCACGAGGATCGAGAGCCACATTCCCTAGAGCTTATGCAATGATAGGGAGAGTGGTTGTGCACATATGTGTCGCAAATACTTTGCTATGCCCCTTTCTTGCTATCTGTTACAGCAAACTAGAAACCAACAGCCTTCTGGAGCTTTGCACAGTATTCCGGGATCAATTGCAAACAGAGGTAAATCAAGGCATCGCATGGAATTTCTCGACGGGGCAACTCGAGCATGCATGCATCTTTCATCATTCGGAGCAGAGCTGAGGCGGTCCATTTAGCTTGCATGCTAATCTATTTGCTTTCCTAGTTATTTTGTTAATTAATTAGGGTTTTGTAATATTTAATTTGCTAGAATAGTTAATTATTTATTCGGACTGTATTATTTATTCGGACCTTCCGAGAGAGGGCCAATTGTTGTAATAAGTGTGCGTGTGTGTGATGTGTGTCTTCCAACCCCACGTCTTTCTCCCTTTTATTTACCAGCTTATGTTGGTTAGTTTAGGGCATGTTTCAATTAGCATACTTATAATAGCATGTTTGCATTCATTCATCTGTTTTGCATGCACCGGGCTCGGCGCATCATACTAACTACACTGTAGTTAAATTCCAAGTTGAATACGTGTTAGCCGTAGTATCATCATATGCCATCTTAGAATAGCCGAGCCTATTGTAGTTGCATTCGTGCATGTGTTGCATTAGGCATTTCTGTATAGTTAGGATCATTCATGGCTTTCTAGCATAGCTTTTGTTTTGGCTTAGAGTACTCGGTAAGTGTTTATGCTTTAGCATCCTTGCATGTGTGCGAGTGACTGCCATGATAGCATGCTTACCATGAGGCTATTTACTTGTGTGATATAACTATCTGAATGCCTGTGGGTGAAGGTTGGATTATCTGAATCGGAATGATACATTGACTGTGAGTTTTAAGCCCACTAGATAGTGGCAAAACCATGTTTTCTAAGCCTACCCGAGGGTGGCAAAATCTGCATTTTAAGCCTACTTGTGAGTAGCAAACCATTTTCAAAACAAACATGAGATGTTTTGTTCCAATTCAGACGACCCAGTCTATACTTGTATGTTGTGTGCATCACATAGTAAATCAAGGCTAATAAACCGGAATAAGAGCACATATGTTTTCAAAACAAGATATCATGGTTAGTAGAGGCCGATCTTTGATCGGGCGAGCGGGGGTGCTCACGTGAATTGGAATAAATCATTTCGAGTTTTAAGCCCACTTGCGAGTGGCAAAATCATGTTTTCTAAGCCCACTTGAGGGTGGTAAATCCACATTTTAGGCTACTTGCGAGTAGCAAACCGTTTTCAAAACAAACATGAGATGTTTTTGTTCCAATTCAGGCGATCCAGTCTATACTTGTATGCTGTTCGCATCACATAGTAAATCTTGGCTAATAACCGGAATAAGAACACATGTGTTTTCAAAAACAAGATATCATGTTTAGTAGTGGCCGATCTTTGATCGGGCGAGCAGGGGTGCTCATAGCTGACCTTCCCCAATCATATCCCAGTTCCCGAGCTGAGGCAACTTTGGTGATGACGGACACGTGGCCTTCGGCACGAGTCAGGGTTTCCTAAATTCCCCCAAAATAAAATATTTAGGTGGCGACTCTGTATCTGGCAAAACAATCCATGTTTGGCACTTCTTTTTAAAAAATCAGTTTTCCATAACAATTTGCCGGATTTGGACTCTTTGGTGATTTATCAGTCTTGCATTGCACTTTGAGAGACTTGATTCAGAACCATGACATTTGAGTCCGAACTGTAGTGAGCCCAAATGAACAAAACGGGGATTTTCCCTCGGGACGTTTGGAGACGTCTACAGTTTCTGGTGACTCTGCTGGGGAGTTTGGAGAACTTGACTCAAACTCATGATATCTTGTTTTGACTACACTTATGGGTTTCTCTGCATTGCATTTGGATTGGTGCGCCTGGGACACCGTGTTTGCCACCTGTTATTCCTAAATGGTTTGCCAGAGGCTCTCTTTGAGAAGCGTGCCATAAAGCTGACCGGTTACGGGCTCTGCCATGATGGGAACACAAACCCCGGTTTTTACCGGGGCACCCTTTTTGACCATTCGATCTAGTGCATATCGAAATCCATAGTGACCATTCCAAACTAGGACAGGTTGCTTACCCAATTATAGGTTGTTTGAAACCGCTGTGTGCGTAATGAAACCCTAGCTCCTGACAAAATAGGACAGTGAAACCCTACCCCTCCATAGGGGTGTTTTTGGCTCTTACTTGCTTGCTAT